CCTACTCCCCTGTGTCGTCCTTCGCCCTACCCAACCGAACCTAAAACCCAATACCACCAGGTGGACAACGTAAGGAAAAGGAAAAGGAAAACAAGAAGAACGAGAAAAGAAACAGGAAGGAAGTCTCCAACAGTTTAAAGTGACGAGAAACGTGCTGACTGTGGAATTACTGTGTACTAAAAGTTTGTATCGAGAAAGAATAAAGTGGTTTTATCAAGAAAGGAATTGTATCGCTGAAGTTCCTCGAAAAGAATTTCTACCGGAAATTAACAAACAAGCAGATACGTAATAATATTAACATGTTTACTTACACACGCTAGGCCTTTAAAACTTAATAACTGTTGGAAGTTTTAATAAAGTTTTGTTTTTTATCTGATGTGGTAACAGATAAAATGGAAAGTAATTAATTATAATATGATAGCCTATTAATAAATCTTACAGTAGTTCAGCTCTATCCACACTAAAGGTTTTGTGATTTGAAATTTTGTTTTGCTTGATCATGGGTCATATAGGTAGACTGAAAAAGAAAAAGAGATGTTTGATGTGCATGGTGATAATCAGATATTATTTTCAGGATTGGAGATCAGTTGATCCTCTTTCTACTTACCAAGTGTTCTGTGTTTGAAGAAGTGAAACCCTCCTGTTACATTCAGAGAACAGGTAAACATAGGAATGTTGCGAGTGTAACATCTGTATGTACATAACTTTTACAGATTAAAATATTTTGATTTTAATACATTTTTAGTGGTATCAGGTTTGAAATCTCAGTCAACTGTAAATTTTCATACATGCTTAGTGTATTTCATGAAATGTACTCAGAATTAAGGCTTTAAAATATTGATAAAAGAGAGGGTACCCATGTGACGAATCGTTTTATTCTGATAATTATATGTTTTTATTTTATGCCATTATTTATTCCTAGTTGGACCAGTATATGAAATTAGCTAGGTTATTTGCTATTTTTAATTCTTGCCTGTTTTGTGACGTGGTTGTGATCAGATAATAACATTTTCAAAACCATCACAACTGTGAATAAAGTAGAATAAACAAACGTTTAATGTGAATTACTGCATGTTTTTTTTTTGCTGAAAAACGTGTTTTAGTTTGATATTTTATGAGTTAGAATGTTTTCATTTCTAGAAGAAGTATCAGATGCTTTCATAGCTAGTGGGTTTATTTCTTTGTAAATTGTGGATTTTTATTTCCAATCTTGTGAAACAAAGGAGTGCCAGCATATCAGATATGGAAGAAAAAAATACAAAGCACAGAAACTGACAGACACAAAAATGAATATAGGAAGAGAAAGCTGCAGATTAAGCAAGCTTGTTTTGGCACAAAGAAAAGAAAGGTATTAAATCAATCCTCCAGTACAGAAGTGTTGCCTGATTACTTGAACAAGTCATTACCAGCAACTAAACACCATCCACAGCATCTATCCCCTGTTTCTTCTGAACATGGATCATTTGGGAGTTGTGACCTTTTCCCAGATGAGAACATGTCAGAAGGATCAAATAGTGTTTTGAACTGTTCGCTATTACAGACTCCAGAAGAGAAATCAAATCTTGTGACACATCATTCAAACAAAAATGTACCTGAATGTTATTCAGGAAATGCAAATTTAGC